CACACACACACTCTCTCTCGCTCTCTCTCTCTCTGTCTCTGACACACGCTCTCTTACTGTAATGATGGCGCTGTCAGAACCTGCTGTGTCTCAGCATTGTATAAAGCGCTATACAAATAAAGGTGACTTGACCTTACTTGAAATACTCAGAAATCTAGAAATACAGCTCTAGGCTTCCCGTCCACATTCTCACCTGCTCTGGATTTCTCTGTTTCTGAATCTTACTGTGCAGCAAACTAGTTAGAAACTGTACAAGTTGGTCTTCTTGTAATGGTTCACCAGTGGACTGATCACTGAGAGATCACACACACACACACACACACACACACACACACTGCAGACAGACGTGGCCTGTGTTCTCACACCTGACCTCTTTATTAACACCAGGAGGAGTTTAATTAATAACAGAGGTTGGCGTGTGTGTTTGGGAAACAGGGGCGGAGTCAACCGTCTCCAGGATGTACAGATTACAGAGTCCTGATTGGTCATCACATGCTCGCTTCTCCATGACAACGATTCTGTTGATAGGAATCAAACATACCATAATTAAATGAAATTAATTCATGCTCTTGCGCCACCACCTCTTAAACAATGTGTTACTTTCTATAAGGACAATTGTTGGGAAATTTAAGAAAACTGTCTTTGGACAATCAGCTTTTTTCAGTTAGAGCAGCAGAAAGATGAAAGATCATATTAGAGAGTGTACATCACAAATCTGCACTCAAAATATGGCTTAAGAAAAATCTAATGTGTGATCACTGATTTTTTAAATGTTTTTGTTTTGTGATTTGATATCGTGTGATATTATTATTATTTTATTCTAATGGAGTGCTGTAATTTTATTTTATTTTAACAACTTCCTGCCCAGGGACTACAGATACAAATGAGCTATATAGCTTACTCTGGCACAACATTTGTGTTGTGCATGGTCCCTGTTAAATAAATCAAATAAACTAAACTAAACTAATATTAATAAAACGTTTCTGACCCAAAAATTATATAGAGTATGTATGTATTCATGTTTCACATATTCAAGTGTGTTGTGTATGTTTATATGTGATGTGTGTGTATGTGTGTGTGTGTGTATGTGTGTGTGCGTTTATATGTGGTGTGTGTGTGTGTGTGTTTATATGTGATGTGTGCTGGCTAATGACGCTCCAAGGACGGGACGTCGAGGCAATATATGCCCAAAACCACAGATCACATCTAGGAAACGGGCTAGCAGCCTGCCAGAACTGTTCAACGGACACGCTGCACACAGCA